CATCACTTGCCCCAGACCAAGGGTTCCTATCTATACCTTGTGGGTAATAGCCACTGATGGACCTCTGCTCCATATGCTTATCTAATTCCCTTTTGAAGCCGTCCATGCTTGTAGCCACCACCACTTCCTGTGGCAGTGAATTCCAAATGTTAATCACTCTTTGGGTGAAGAAGTACTTCCTTTTATCCGTTCTAACCCGACCGCTCAGCAATTTCATGGAGTGCCCACGAGTTCTTGTATTGTGAGAAAGGGAGAAAAGTACCTCTTTATCTACCTGCTCTATCCCATGCATAATCTTATAAACCTCAATCATGTCTCCCCTCAGTCGTCGTTTCTCCAAGCTAAAGAGCCCTAAGTGCTTTAACCTTTCCTCATAGGGAAATGTTAGTTAAAGAAGATAGTTAAAATTCAACAAGACCTGAATACTCTGGAGAAGTGGGCAGTTGCAAACAGGATGCAATTCAACAAAGATAAATGCACAGTATTACATCTGGGTCACAAAATGTCAAGCACAAATACTGGATGGGGGATATGTTTCTGGTTTGCCATTGCCTGCCTTTGCATAGTGACCCTGGTATTCCTTGGTGGTCTCCCTTCCTCCTCAGCCACCAAGATGGTGACAACAGTGTGCCTTGAAGATACCCCTCTCCTACTTTTTCACGGTCAGAGTGGTTCAACGGTGGAATCAGCTGCCTAGGGAGGTGGTTAGCTCCCCTTCACTGACAGCTTTGAAGAAGTGGCTGGACGAATATCTGTCAGAGATGCTTTAGGCTGGTCCTGCATTGGGCAGGGGGTTGGATTAGATGGTCTGTATGGCCCCTTCCAACTCTGTGATCCTATGTCACTTAGCTTGTTTTGTATGCGTGTGGGCTTTGCGTAGAGATAGCATAACACTGTTTCTCTTTCATTCCTTGCTTCTTGATCTTTACAGTTTCTTGATCGTTTACAGTTTCTTTTCCCTTTACTTCTCTGCCAGCTGAGTGTTGGCAGAAAGATACATGCATACATGAGTACACATCTTATGTATCTGATAAAGCGAGCTCTGGTTCGTGAAGGCTGATGCCAGAATAAATATGCTGGTCTTTAAAAATGCCATGACCTCATCTTTCTTTGGCTTATGCTAGCATAATTGTTCTTCCCCTAAATCTAACAGTTCTTACTGCCAGTAGGAAAAATGCTAAGATATTATCGCTTATGATGAAGCTTTTTTAGATGATGCTGGGTTAATGGTGTGGGATTTCCTTTCCCTTTTTAATTTATTTATTTATTTTACTTTTGTAGCTTCCACCAGCATCTCAAGGTGGTCAGAAATGGGTGTCAAGATGGGCAAGCCTGGCAGATAGCTACACAGACTCAGGATCTGCTCCAGGTCTTGGAGACATCCAGCCGCAGGGCCCCCCCTCTCAGGCTGGCACTGGTATGTACTGTCACTGATGTGGGTCTCACATGGTAAAGTGCCCCTGGTTCCACACCTTCTTTCTGTAGCTTTGCTTTAGGGTTGATATTTGTCACTTACATCACAGCGTTTCCAGAAGAGAGTGGCTGCATACAGGCCTCATGACGAATTGAGACCAGACAGGGATTTGTTGGAAATGGGCATGAACGCGGCTTGTTAGCTGTGCTCGTATGCCTTCCTTCCCCCTCTCTTTGCAAGAAGAGCTTCATGGGACTTCGTGGTTTGATCAGTGGAGATTCAGAATTCCAGTTTTGGGGGAGGAAACGGAGTCTTGTCTGCCCCGATGCCCACATTCAGACTATTGGAGAATCAAAGCTTGATTAAGTTGGACCTCCAGACATGAGAGGTGGCGTAGGTACATGCACGACAAACAAGCTGTGTTTGTGCCCCCTGATAGATCGCTGGTTGCTTTCAGTTTGTTTTTGACATCTGGAGAAAGAAAGCCATTGCTCATTTTACAAGAAATATTATTGGGCTTAAGATACAAAAAATACAGCCAAGTATGTTGCTTTTAATGAGCAAAGTAAAGAAGGAATCTGTTTCAGCAAATGGATCCACACAGGCGTCATATGTATTTATTTATCAAAATACGTCCCCGTTGTCAGCCGTGGCTCAAGGCAGGAGATGCAGCACATCCTGGTTGTTTCTTGTGACGCAGAATGCAGGAAAAGGGGAGAGTGATTTTCATTAAGCAGTAGAAAATAGTTCATATAATTGTGTAACAAATGAAAACTGCCACAGGATGCTAGGTCACCCAACGTTAATTGATTTTCAAGGAGTTCATTGAGATTTAAGAGTGGATGAGGAAAATCCATGACGATGCCACAACAGTATTTTTCTAAACATTAACATTTTTGCTTTGTGAGAAAATTGAAGCCAGCAGAAGGGTCAGATGAGGTTTTCCTATGGACAGTTCTCCAGCACTGTAATTGCTCGTCCAACACTGCCATCCCCACGTGATAGAAAGAGGTGTAAAAATAGGTCTGGAACAGATAAAAGGAAGTACTTCTTCACCCCAAAAATAATTAACGTGGAATTCACAGCCACGGGAAGTGGTGATGGCTATGAACATAGACAACATCAAGAGGTGATTAGATAAACATATAGAGCAGTTCATCAGTGGCTATTAGCCACGAGGTATAGATGGAGCACTTTGTCTGGGGCAGTGACACTCTGTATTCTTGGGGGGGCAACAGTGGGAGGGCTTCTGGAGTTCTGGCCCTGTTGGTGGACCTCCTGATGACAGCTGGGTTTTAGCCACTGTGTGACACAGAGTGTTGGACTCAGTGGGCCATTGGCCTGATCCAGCATGGCTTCTCTTATGTTCTAAATCAGTGTTGCCTTTGTGAAGGCTGTGCTTCGGGGAAGGGTTGTGGGTCAGTCTTTATATGTGGAAGGTCCCCATTCAGTGTTTGGCATCTCCTGTTAAAGAGTGTCAAGTAGCAGGGACTGGAAATCACTTGCTCTCCTCAAGAGCCACTGTCAGTCAGAGTAGACAAGTCTGAGTCAGATGGATCAATGGTCTGACTTGATACAAGGCAGATATGAACCCATGAAGCTGCCGTAGGTGGAGTCAGACCCTTGGTTCATCAAGGTCAGTATTGTCTACTCTGACTGGCAGCAGAGCTCAGAAGTCTCCGGCAGAGGTCTTTCACATCACCTACTGCCTGGTCCTTTTAACTGGAGATGTGTGAACCTGGGACCTTCTGCATACCAAGCAGGTACTCTGCCGCTGAGCCACGGCCCCTCCAAATACGTATGTAGTTAAGAGTTGAGCTTAACTGGACCAATTCCATCTTACATAAAATATGTCTGTAATTAAGAGTTGAGCTAGGTATTAACATTTGTCGTGTAAAAAAAAAAGCAACCTGGCTTTGTCTGTTCAAGACACTCACAGTGCTGTCCAGAGCGGAAGCAGAGTTATACCCTTGTAACCCAATTGATATCAGTGGGCTTAGAAGGATGTGAATGTAAGCAAAATGTAGGGACCATCGTGGAACAAGCACAAAACAAACGAAACACTGTGTACTCAAAGTACAAAAAGGTATTTATATTAATTGTCTTGAAAATGGAGATTGGTTCCATAGAATGATTTACACAAGGGATAGTGATTCTTGAGAAAGAAGGCTGGAAACGGCTTGTACATCCGAGGAGCCGTCGGATCGCTTCGCTTGCAACAGATTGCTTCAGTTGCAACAACATAGATGTTTGGATTGCTTCCCTTGCTACAATAGGACAATTGGAAGGAGACGTTTTTGGAGTAACTTTCTGCAGCAGTATAAAAACGCATAGAAAAGAACATTTCTCATTGTAGTATCTTAGAAATGTATGGACCTTTATTGCTGCATTTCTTAAGTTTTGTATGTTTGAGATTGCCATGTATTATACTTCATCTGAGATAGAAATGCACTCTTTATTACTTTAAATTTTCACTAAACCTTTATATAAATACCTTTTTGCACTTTGAGTACACGGCGTTTGTTTAGAAGGAAGTGAGTGTGCTCTCAGGATGGCATTGAACGTATGCAGGCAAGGAAAACTGTAGGGTTTGAATTCACGAGAAAAGAGAAGCCATTAGCCTGGGTTCCCCCCCTTGTTTTTCTGTTTTCTTTCTCGTTTGGCCGTTCTTCCCTGCTCCTTTCCTCTCAGCTGTTAGAGGCCAAGAAAGAAAGCTGGAGTTGATTGCAGACAAAAAAAAAAATCCCAGCCAATTACTCCTTCCCTGCAGATGTGACTTTCAGGTCCTCCAGCTTTCTTTGCCCATAGAGAGGTATCCTTCAGTTTGGTGTCGTGGTTAGGAGCACGGACTCTAATATGGGAGAACCGGGTTTGAGTCCCCACCCCTCCCCATGCAGCTGCTGGTGTGACCTTGGGTCTGTCACAAGTCCTTTCAGAGCTGTTCTCTCATGAGCAGTTCTCGAGAGAGCTCTCTCAGCCCCACCTACCTCACAGGGTGTCCATTGTGGGGAAGGGAAAGGAGATTAGTAAACCGCTCTGAGTGAAGGGCACAGTATAAATCAAATTTCTTTTTCTTCTCTCAGAGTTCTGGTAAGTATAGCCACTCCGCTATTTATGTATTAAGTGTTAATGTGTTCGATTTGAGTTCAGTAGCACCAGGGGTCGTTTCGTAGAAAAAGCGCTAGGGGAACTCATTAGCATAACTCATTAGCATATGCCACACCCCCTGACATCACCGGAAGTGTGTCATAAGGCCACACACCCCACCCCCAACGGTCCCGGCTGCCGGTGCCGGCCTTGCAGCTCCACTGCTGAGCCCCATGAGGGGCCCGGCGGTGGACCTGCAAGGCCGGCGGGAGTGCAAGGAAGCCCCGTGAAGGCCCTCCCTGGCCCCAGGCAGGCAGGGGTGGGGAGAGGCAGGGGGGAAGGAACTTACCCTCCCTCTTCTCCTGCCTCCTCCTGGCTGAATGAGGGCCGTAAGCGGGGCGGCCGGAAGCAGGGGGCGGGGCTTCGTCATGTGCCCCGCCCCCCGTACCTCACCCGGGGGGACTGCGATCCCCCCCGAAATGACCTCTGAGTAGCACCTTAGAGACCAACAAGATTTCCGGGGTATAAACCTTTGAGAGTCAGAGCACCCTTCATTAGATACGATGATGCTTTGAATCTCAGAAGCTTACGCGCCAGAAATTTTGTTGGTCTCTGCGGGCACTGTGTTGGCATCCTCAGTATAAGCTTTTGAGAGTCAATGTTCCCTTTGTCAAGAGAGCTAACAGCTCTCTTTGACTCTCAGAAGTTTATACCCCGGAAATCTTGTTGATCTCTAAGGTGTTACCGGGCTCGAATCCGCCCCTTCTATTGCAGAGCAACACGGCTATAATCTGAAATGGCGTAAATGTCCAGCTAGCCCAGCTCTAAGACATAAATGGAGATGTGTCACGCGCTGCATTGTTAAGTAAGATGTCTGTTTTCATCATTTTTATTAGAAAAGGATTCTATTCCTAAAGCGGGAGAATCAGAGACCTCCGTGGCTTTGCGGACGAGGCGCCTTCTCCCTCAGCTCCCGCCAGGTGACAAGTCTGAAAGTCCAACGCCACCCATTTTAATCTGCCCGGAATCCTATTCTGACGCTTCTCCGAGGAACACTGTGAATGACCACAGGGCAGAAATCTATGCTGATCCTTCCATTCGGCTGCTCGCTCAAGAAGATCTGGACCCCGACAGCCTTAGCGATGCCAGCAAATCCGACGACGGTTTTGGCTTGGAAAAAGGAAGGAAGTGCCAAGGCCAGCAGGAGCAAGTGAGGTCTGACCATGGAAAATCCCAAAACCATCAGCATGCTGTGCCCAGGCTGTCAGGTCTGAGAGCTTCAAGTGATCCGTCGTCCACTGCGTTTTATATTGGGGACGAAGAGGAGTCGGGAGTTCCTTCCAAGCTTTCCCCAAGCACCTCTCGTTCTCGAGCAGACAAAGAAGACGCCGCTTTCCAGCCTGCCAAGCCGGCTGTTAAAGGCATTAGCAATAGCTATGTTAGCTCGAATGGGAAAATGGTTATTTCCTTACACTCAAGTCTTCCTCTTCAAGAACAAGAAGCAGCCACGAAAGAAAGCACGTCCTTTGTCCGGCAAGAAAGCTTTACCAAAGAGAAATCAAGCAGCAGTGTTTCTCAGAACAGGCTGCCTCATATCTCTAGCCACCCTCTGCTTAAAGATCTCGATGTGGCGCGAGCAAACCGTATGGACTATAATCCGGACACTCACCTTCTTCTTAAAGACACCGAAACAGCTCTGGCAGCACTGGAGGCCAAATTCCTCTGCCAATCACACGAGCTCGAGCCTCCAGAAAGTTCCCCAGGGCCATTGGAAGACTCCTTATCTGGGGACTCCGATGTGGACACGGCAAGTACCGTAAGCCTGGTCAGCGGTAAAAACATCCCCACAAACCCACCAAAGCGTAAAGCTGCGATGGCCTTGCAAAAAGAGAAATCCTCTTCAGTGCCATCGATCCAAGAGCAGAACGTTCAACCGAGCGCACGCGAAAGGCTTTCGGAGAAACGCAAGACTGTCACATCGGAGTCTGGAAACAAAGGGGAAAATGCAAAGCGCTTCCAAGTCAAGCGTTGCGCAGGGGGTGGAGGGTCTCAGGATTGTACAGATGACGAACGTGGTACCTGCCTCCCATACATCCCAGCAACTGAAACAGTCTGCTCCGATCAAGAACAGTCCGTCTCGAGGCCTATCACCAGAAAGAAGCCTTTCTCGCAGACCACCAAAGAAGAATACAGCAAAGTCACTCCAACGGTGCAGAAGATTCAACAAGTTCTCACGAGGTCGAATAGCTTATCTACCCCGAGGCCCACGAGAGCCTCGAAACTTCGGCGCGCACGATTGGGAGACACCTCGGACAATGAGAGTGCCGACACCGAGAAATCGACAGCTCACCACGAAGGGACAGCGGCATCTTCCAAACCACCAGCGGAGCCGAAGAAGCTTTCAAGGCTCGACATCCTTGCCATGCCAAGGAAACGGGCAGGATCTTTCAATGTTCCGAGCGATTCAGAGAGCACGCCGCCAAGACCGACCTTCTCCGGGCGCAGTGCAGAATCGTATTACGCCACCCGAAAGCCGCCTGTCTCGGAAGCCAGAAATGCTGCTAGGAAGACGGCAGCAGCGGTAGCTGCATCCAAGCAGTCTTTTACCAGAACGCGCCCCAGCGGTATCAAATACTCCTCTTCTTCCAGTGAGTAATAGCGTGACTGGACGCACCTTACTTTCCCTCTGCTTGTAGTTCTGATTCCTAGCATTCTGTACCAAAGAATTCAAAGTTAAGTGAGGGAGCAGACTTTAAAAAGGGATCAGAGAGGTTCATGGAGGATAGGTCCTTCAGTGGCTACTAGCCATGGTGGCTAAAGAGATCCTCCACATTCAGAAGCAGCATATCTTTCGATGCCGGTGCTAGGAGGTGGCCTCGGTCTCTATGCCCTGTTTGTTGGCCCTTCTAAAAGGTGTTCGTTGGACACTTTGTGAGAAAGGATGCTAGACTAGGTGGACCATCAACAGGGCTCTTCTCATGCAAGCACGTGGAGAAATAATTTGGAGATGGTTCTATAACTCCTCCCAACAGGTCCAGTATCCCTATATTAAGCACTGATTAAAAAAAATAATAACCAAAAAGAGAATTCCCTTTCTCCCACAGGGTATCACTCAGGGAGAATACCAGTTGCTATTCAGAATGCAACTTTGTTCAGAAGTAGTATGCCACTGATTGCCAGTGGATGGCTGTCTCTGCCATGCCCCACTTCAAACTTCCTGGAATACTCACTTGGCTGCTGGAACATATGGGCCTTTGGTTTCAACCAGCAAGCGATTTCTTAGCATCATAGAATCATAGAGTTGGAAGGGACCTCCAGGGTCATCTAGTCCAACCCCCTGCACATTGCAGGAAATTCACAAATACCTCCTCCTCCACACCCCCACTGACCACTGTTCCATGCCCAGAAGATGACAAAAACCCTCCAGGATCCCTGGCCAAACTGGCCCGGAGAAAAATTTCTCCCTGACCCCAAAGCGGCGATCGTCATTTCCCTGGACATGGAAGAAAGGGCCTCAGGAACTGACGCAACCCTTCCCACCCTCCCTGCCCTTCTGATATTATCTAAATTCCGTAGCTTTGCATTAAAATGCAACTGTTCTTAGATCAGGCTTTCCTGGTCACCTGTGCCAAGTAAGAATCTTCTGCAGGCGATCAGGCAGAAAAGCGTTTGCGAACTGTAAGAGACCCCCCCCCCCTTTTTCAGGTCACCAGTGTTCCACAGATAATGAATACAGGTAAGCAGCAACAGGCAAGCAAGTAACATTGTGTGCTTAGTTGCTTTTCTCAACAGCTTTTTCTTGCTTGTCATACCTACATTTGCGCGCGTGTGTGTGTGTATGATGCATCTAGGGTTGCCACCTTCCAGTGGAGCCCGGAGTCCTCCTAGAATTACAGATCTCCAGACTGCAGAGATCAGTTGTCCTGGAGGGCAGACTGCCTGGCATCACGTCCTTGCTGAGCTCCCTCCCCTCCTCGGGCTCTGCTGTCCCCTGGCACCATCCCCAAATCTCCAGGAATTTCCCAAGCCAGAGTTGGGACACCCTGTCTGGATTTCATTGCACTGTGCAGGTGCATCCCATCGAACACACGGGAAGGCGCATGAGCTCATGCCGCCCCCGTGCTGATTTCCTGCCGTTTGGGGCGGAACACCGTGGAGAAATGTAGACTGAACACATGCAGACTCGCAGTGTTCCCTCTAAGCTGAGTTAGTGTGAGCTAGCTCACAGTTTTTTAGCCTCCAGCTCACAGATTTTTGTCTTAGCTCAGGAAGGACGGCTCCAGAGCAAACTGATTTATGCAGGAGCCCAATCGCTCACTCACAACTTTAAGGCCCATAGCTCACAAAGTAGAATTTTTGCTCACAAGACTCCACAGCTTAGAGGGAACATTGCAGCACAGTACAGATATTGGGAAGTGAGAGGTTTTTGCCCAGCAAAGCCCTGTGTCACACCATTCCTTTCTTTTATAGGGGCTAATTCTGATCCTTTTCCCTTTGTTTAGCTGAGGGCCTGGGAAGTTCCTGTGGCCTGATGTGCCCCTAGAGGGGAGAACGTAAGGCTACAGAATCTCTTGTAATTAGGAGCAGCCTCAGGCTTGTTGCAGAGTTGTCCCCAAACCTGTTGAGCATATGGGTAGCACCAACACAAAATGGCAGCCACAGGAGGTGGCACCAATCACAAAATAGTAGGAGTTTCCAAACTGGGTGTCCTCCCATGAGGGGGGGGCAGCTATTTCCAAATGGGTTCTCCCCAAAGACAATTCCTTCCTGAGATTTTTTGCAAAGCAGAAGTGGACACCACCACAAAATGGCTGCCATGGAAGGTGGAGTAGGGTTGCCATTCCCCTGATGAGGGCAGGGTTTGCCTTGATTTTGGGCCCACGGATCTGCCCACCTGGCCAGCGGGGAAGCCTCGCCCCCGAAGAGCTCAACAACGCCCGACGCGCCCAGTGCAATGATGTCACCTGGAGGGGGGGGGGCGCTCTAGCATTCGGCCAAAAAGGAGCCAGGAGCCCCCCTCCTCCAAGAGGTAGGGACCTGGCAACCCCAAGGTGGAGTCAATCACACATTGGGAAGTTGCAAGCCAAGTGGCTTCTTGTGATGGGGGCAGCTAATAGGAGCTCCCCAAAGACCCTGATACGATGCATCCTATGATTTTCAGATTTTTGCTTTGTTGAGGTAGTGAAAAGCCAAGGTTGGCAGTTTGCTTTGGGGAAGAAATGGCTGGGCACCATGGAAGACACAACAGCCAGGCAGGGTGGTGGTCAAGGGGCACCGTGTTAGAGATCACTTGGTTTAGTGCCTCATGAGGTTTAAAAGGCTTGTTGGTCAAATGATTTAAAGGTTTCAGATTGCACCCTTGGAATAAATATTATGAGGGTTGGCTGTGGCACAGATGGGCCAGCGTAGACTTTAACCAATTTAATTATCATAACTTCTCTTATGAATTGTTGTTTGATTCTGCTACTGACAGTCCTTGGCTGAGAGACCTTTCCCCCTTACCGTGTCCACTCCTTGTTTTAAATGAATTGGTTTTGTCCTTCCGTTGCTTTGCAAGAACAGCTAACCCATTTCAAGCGTAGAATTAACCTGAGGATTCCTTAAGGCGCAGTGTGCGGCTTTAACGTTACTAACGCTCTAATTCCTTTATAGGGGTTTTAGGTTTGGCGCTAAACCTGCATAGACTGGGGTCCTTGGCTGGGCTTTGTAGAACGGAGATGGGTATTTAGTGTTTTCAGCCTCTACTGTCGACGGTCACCTTAACACCTTTTCTCTTGAGAAACAAGCTGGCAAGACAGGTGGATGTTGATAAGACTAAACACAGCACTATTGCTGATAGCGCTTTCAGAATTGTCATGAAGTTACCATCATCGGATTTGGATACGGAAACCATCTCTTGTGGCTTGGGGGAAGCATGTTCCAGGGATCCAAAATGAGTGGGGTTTTTTTTGCTTTGACTGGCTGTAACGAGGAGCCATCTGCCTATACGGTAGAGCTTTGCATGTTAACGTCCTAGTGAAATGTACCTTGCGAACGCTAGCAGGCAAAGGGAGACATCTCCTGAAGATAATGAAGGTTATCTGCACCGAGAGACTTAACTGAGAACAAACACCAGATGGTTCTCTTTCTTAGTTGCTGGGCTTGTTTACACAGTCAGTTATCCTGAGGTATCACGCTCCCTTTATTTCGTTAACTTGCCTTAGCCGGGTGAAATAAAATGACAGTGGCACCTCGAAGACTAACAACAGTTATTTCAGTATTTGCTGTCATGAGTCAGTGCTCACTTTCTCAGATATTCTAGATCCAGTCCAGTAGGGCCTTAGACACCCAACAAGGTTTTTGAGGGCATGAGCTTTTAAGAGCCAAAGCCCCCCTCCCCATATTTTGTGCCCCCTCTGGCCTGCTGTACAGTTTGAAAACCACTGGCTGGAGGTTATAACAACACTAAATTGAGCACCAAGGATGTCCCTGAGCGTGTAAACAAGCCAAGCATTTCTGCACTCCTGGTCATTTTTGAGCGGGTACTTAACTGCATTTGGGAATGAAGCTGTCTGTGTGGATGGAGAATGTGGGGGGGAATCTAACCCGCTTAATCATTTTTACTGGGGCCTTCTGTGCATGATAGAATTCAAGACTGCATCACAGGTTACAAAATTCCTACAGCACGGCATGTCCCTAGAGGAATTAATTAGAAGTCCACATATAGCGCCTTGGGTGTTGGAATTCTTGTGACATGTGAAGCAGGCCACGGTGGACAATCTGCAACATGCGTTTTGTTGCTCTAAAATTCAGTGAGTTCTGTCTGTTGTGTGACTAGTTAATTTGTGACAGATAAAGGGGCAGATAAAGACAGCCATTTTTAAGTGTACCTTCACAACACATCTGCACTGAAAGCATGTTAAAATTCTTCTTACTACTCAGCTGGATGATGAGGGGATACACAAGGTAAAATGTTACGTGACTTGAGGTGACCCTATGAATTAATGTCCATGTCTGGGTTTAAAAGTCAGACAGTGAAGAAAGCTGACAGGAAGAAAGTTGATTCATTTGAACTGTGGCGTTGGAGGAGAGTTTTACGGATACCGTGGACTGCCAAAAAGACAAATGAGTGGGTTCTAGATCAAGGTTGAACTCTCCCTGGAAGCTAAAATGACCAGTATGAGGTTATCCTATTTTGTTTGGTCAAATCATGAGGTGAAATTCACTGGAAAAGACAATTGTGCTAGGAAAAGTGGAAGGCAGCAGGAAACAAGGGCAAGAGGAGTCGAACCTTGAGCAATGTCCCAATCAGTACCATATGTTGTTGTTGGTGGTGGTCAGGGTTTTTTTGTAGAAAAAGCCCAGCAGTTGAACTCTCCCTGGAAGCTAAAATGACCAGTATGAGGTTATCCTATTTTGTTTGGTCAAATCATGAGGTGAAATTCACTGGAAAAGACAATTGTGCTAGGAAAAGTGGAAGGCAGCAGGAAACAAGGAAGAACCAACCTGAGATGGATGGATTCCGTCAAGGAAGACCCGGCCCTCAGGTTGCAAGACCCGAGCAAGGCCGTTAACGACAGGACATTTTGGAGGACATTAATTCACAGGGTTGCCGTAAATCAGAAGCGTCCTGGCAGCACCCCTAAAACTCTCTCAAAAACAAACAAACAAGCCTCACAGTGGACGTGGATTAAAATTTCCCCCACCTCATGACCCCGATCTGAATAAAGCCCCTAAAAAACTTCTATTAGCATTTTAACAACACCGGGAGACTCTGGCCATGAGTTTTGACCTACAGGCTATTCCAAATGTTCTCCTTCAGCTTGAGGTGATTTGGTCGTATATGAAGGGATAAGGAATATGTTGGTTATAGATGTGTTTTGAAATATATGGTAAAAATGACTGTCTTGGGTCCACTTGGGGTTAGAACGCAAACCGTTTCAGTCTTAACATTTTGAAGTTCCACTTTGTGGTTACGCACAGAAGGCGCCTTGACCCCCTTTTTCTCTCATTCTTGGGCCGGTTTGTATCGCCGTTTTCTCCTTCCCCTTCGAATTCAGCCTGAAAAGTCTTTTCTTCTCCCCTTTTCCTCTTTCCTCTTCTCCTCCTTCACTGCCTGAAACCAATTCATTTTTTATAAGCTTCGAGGAGGCGGCAGCAGGGCTCAGATTATACCTCTACGTCCGAGGAGGAGTATGGCTCAAACCACAGCTCCCCTAAACACAAACGCTCCCATACTTCAACAGCCACCCAGACGCCCAGGCCACGAGGCGCCGGCCTGAGCAAACAGAAGCGCAGCAGCAGCCGAGAGACGGAAGAGGAAGATTACGACAAACGCGATCCCTACAACTTCATCGCGCAGACGGCGGAGATTGCAGAAATAGCCAGGTGGGTCGGAGTGGGCAGCATTTTGAGCTAAGGGCCACGCCTTGGGGTGGTTGGGTGGGGCCTGTTTGACAAGAAAGAGCTGTGAATCCTTGCCCCCTCATTCTACTGTGGACTCGCAGTGCCAACCTGATGAGGTGAGTTAGGCTGAGAGAGAATGACTGGCCTGAGGTCACCCAATCGGCTTCCGTGGCGCAGTGGGTATTTGAACCTGGGACTCTCATATCCCAGTCCAGCACTCTAACCACTACACAACACTTCTCTCCTGCTCTAATCGAGCTGATTACTCGTCACATATACCTTTGTATCCCGGCTTCCTCTTTTGCAACACCCCTCTGCCTTCTGCCTGGGATATAAGGCATCTCCATTCCTACTTGTATCTGACAAAGAGAGCTTTGACTCTCAGAAGTTTACACGCAGAAAATCTTGTTAGTCTCTAGATGCTACTGGACTCAAATCTAGCTCTTCTACTTCAGACCAACATGGCTGTCGTCCTGAAGTCACTGCATTACTCTGGCTCTCTTAGGAGCCCTTAGGTACAAGAATGGAATAGTGGAATGAGCAATAAGTTTAATTAATATCTGCACTCAGGCTGTTTGTTGTAATGTTTTGACTCGAGGAGCACCAGCCGGCATGGCAAAGGTCACTGATCTCTGTCCACGTGCCCAGCTGTGATGCAGGTTGGTACCGAGAAGGGATTTAACCCTTTAAACCTCCCCCCCCCAGTTTTGCTTTTGAAACCAAGCTCTTTGTTAGTATTTTGATGAGAAAAGGGGTACTAAACCTTTCTTTCTCTCTCTCTCCCCTTTAAATTGCTAATATTGTGTGTATCAGGGAAAAGCTGACCATGGGCCAGTAACTCTCTCTCTACCTGTCAGACCCCATACGTACTCACTCCCAACAACACTCTTCAGATGCAAGATTTGTTTATTGAGGTATGCAGTCGATACAGGTGTAAGCCAACTTGTGTCAGAACTGGCGGGCATTGGCACCAAGCCCACTATTATACCCACTTCAAACTACCCCCCTCCCCTTTGTGCCATGGTCCAATCACACCGGTCAGTCATCCTGTCAAGCCGATGTGCGGTGTGTCCCCCCCGCCGTGCACTACAAAGTGTATCTGTCAGCACTCCTGGCAGCAAAGGCTTCAAGGACACTTCTTCCTTCCTTCCTCGGGTGACCACTTGGGAAAATGTTACAGGCGTCTAGCAAGGTGCGTTCCCACACATTCTTTTCCCCATTCACCCCCCCCCCCGTTCCAGCCTGAAGCGAAAGCATCCCAGAGAACAGAGATCAACATGGCAAACGAAAAACTGAGTTTGACACTACCTTAACCAACCCTGCAGGGTTATTGTGAAGCTAGAATGCTGCCCTGAGCTTTCCAGAGGAAAAGTAGGATGAAAATGTGAAAGAAATAGTATAAAGGTTTACATTTCATTATTTCTTTAACGTTTCTTTTAAAAAAGCAAACACAGATCTTCACCTTTTAACACGTAGGTTGCAGCAGTGACAATAAACCCTTTGAAACAGATGAGACTGTGAGATGCAGAAATTGTCAATTGTTGTGGAAGAAACCTGGCAGTCTCTTTATCTTGGTTAGATGGTGCCTGCGTCTGCTTCACTGTGGCACAGCCGGGTGTTTAAGGAAAGGCAGCTTTTGAGGAATTCAGGCATTATGCAGAGCCAGTTTGGGGTAGTGGTTATGAGCGGCGGACTCTAATCTGGGAGAATTGGGTTTGATTCCCCATGTGAATGATTTCGAACAGCAGTCACTCAGGTGTGACGGTCACAGGTACAAAGTTAGAGTCCAGGGGCACCTTTAAGACCAACAAAGCTTAATTCTGGGTAGAAGCTTTCTGTGAGCCAGTTTGGTGTAGTGGTTAAGACTAGCAGACTCTCTGGAGAACCAGGCTTCATTCCCCACTCCTCTGCATGCAGCCAGCTGGATGGCCTTGGGTCAGTCACAAGTTCTCTCAAGAGTTGATCTCTCAAGAGCAGTTTCTGTCAGAGCTCTCTCAGCCCCACCTACCTCATAGGGTGTCTGTTGTGGGGAGGTTGAGGGAAAGCAGATTGTAAGCCGCTCTGAGACTCCCAAGTGAAGGGCGGGGTATCAATCCAATCTCCTCCTCCGTCCTCTTTGTCTTCCTCCTCCTCCTCCTCCTTGTCTCCCCCTCCTGCTCCTCCTCTTATGTTTTTGCGAAGCTTCAGGTGGGTAGCCATCTTGGTCTACCGTAGAAGAGCAAGTTTTTGTGTCCAGTAGCACTTTAAAAGACCAACAAGATTTCTAGGGTATAATCTTTTGAGAGTCAAAGGGAGCTGTCAGCTCTCTGACAAAGGGAGCTCTGACTCTCAAATGTTTATACCGGGCCCCCCCAACATGGTGCCCATGGGCACCATGGCACCTGCCAAATATTTTCGAAAGTGGGAGGGGTCAGATGAGGCTTCGGCTCAGCAGGGTTTGTGATTAACCATTGGGGGATCTGATTGACTGTGCAGATTTTTAAAAAAATGTTTTGGGAGCAGCTATCACCATAACAGGAGCTGCGGTGGCTCAAGTGGTTAAGACACTGAACTGCAGGCTGTGGAAGGTCAGTAGTTCAGCAGTTCGAGACCCGAGTGTGCCGCATGACGGAGTGAGCTCACGTCTCTAGTTCCAGCTCCTGCCAACCTAGCAGTTCGAAAGCAAGAAATTGCAAGTAGATAAATAGGTACCACTTTGGTGGGAAGGTAACAGCGTTCCGTGCGCCTTGGTGTTTAGTCATGCCGGCCACATGACCACGGAAACGTCTTCGGACAGCGCTGGCTCTTCGGCTTTGAAACGGAGATGAGCACCGCAACCCTAGAGTCAGATTCGACTGGCTTTCGAGCAAGGGAAACCTTTACTTTTATCACCATAACACAAGACTTTTTGCTGAATGACTAAAGGTAAGCTGGGAATATGAGAAAAAGCCCTGTTAAAAAGTATGTTCATTTTAAATGGCATCCTGTTAAACAGAACTTCTGCCTGAAATGCTGAAGATTAACTATTAGAGTTCATAGAATTGGCTTCTCACCTCAGCTACTCTTATCTTATGGATCTGAACAAGCCAAAGGGCTAAGAGTTGAGGAGATTGAGTGACAATCTGACATCTCTAAGGCTTCCGAACTTGGGGTGTTGTTAAATATCAAAAGCACCATTGAGCCGGCAATATATTTGACTTCAGTGGAGGGAAAGAATTCTAGAAGGGCATTTGCCCTAGCTAGATGTTCTGCCCTTCCATCTGTGGTTATTCAAGGCAGGTACAACAAAAAACCCTACTCGCCTTTTAAGCGAGGTTGAATCGGTAGAGCATATGTTCTTCAGCTGTCCATTTTACAGGGAGGCTTGTCTTAAAATTATTACCCCATTAGTCGATAGGACACCTGGGCACATTAACACAAACAAATCAAGGCTCCACTGGCTCCAATCAGATAAGAATGTAGAGATTACACATTCAGTACCTGAGTTTTGTGCATGAATTCTTAGATTGCGGGGATCGCATTTTATAAATTCTTAGATTCAGATTTTATTTTTGTATATTATGACTGGGTTTTCCCCCTCTCCCTCACATATTATGCTTACTCTGTATATTGGTCTTAAGACCGTAATCTTAAACTAAACTAAACCATTAGTCCCTGACATTTTGGGCCGGCTCTGCCTCCCGCAGCCGGCGTTTTTTGGTTGCGCCCGCCACCCCGTGTTGGAATTCTAAAAGTGCTCACGTTTCCAAAAATTTGGGGGGTCCTGGTTGATCTCCTGGAAATCTCGTCGGTCTTTGCAGTGCTGCTGGACTCGAACCTTGCATTTTTGGACAAGGGTTTCCATCTGCCGTGTAAAAGACTGAAGATGTTTTTCAGACTACAGCACACGATCTCAGAGCAGGAAAAAACTGTCTGGCTTCCAAAAGAAGAAATCTATGCTGTTGAGAACACTGTGGATATTGCAGAAGCTAAAAACCAGATGCCTCCCCTTGAATCAGTATGGCATTTGGCAGCAGAGAGGGCTCTATTGAGATTTCCAAGCAGGCCACCCCGTAATTGCAGTCTTTCGGCATTCTCCTCTGCTGGGGCTTCTGAATTAACTGGGAGACGCATGTGGAATAGCAAGTGAGAGTTCAAAGGGAAATCATCCCCACTTTGTTGATGCTGGACTTAATCACGTAATTGAGGTATTAGAAGGAACTCCTCTGGCCCCAGACAATCCTGGCCGCTCAATTAGTCATGCCGTTCCGAACACTGCTAGTTCTATCGCGTGCGCCGCTTTTTGCTTCCAAGGAGACGGCTTAAAAATATTTTGGAAGACTTGTAGTTTTGTGCATATTAGATGAATTTTAAAAAAAGGTCTGCAAGGAATCAGGTTGCTTGATCAAGTGAAGCATCAGTTGATTCGTTGGCAGGGCCAGTATTGGTAGGCGAGCTTACATTTTAAAATGCATTTTCCTAAGCGGATTTGAGATATGTGTAAACCCCCAATGAAAGTCTCGGAAATTTCAAAAGAAGAAATAAAGCTTGGAGCTTCCATCAAGTGTGAGAGAGAGAGATTGGATTTATACCCCACCCTTCACTCAGAGTCTCAGAGCAGCATACAAACTTCCTTTCCCTTCCCCTCCCCACAACAGACACCCTGTGAGGTAGGTGGGGCTGAGAGAGCTCTTTCGAGGACTGCTCTTGAGAGAACAGCTCTGAAAGAACTTGCGACTGACCCAAGGTCATCCAGTAGCTGCATGTGGAGGAGTGGGCAGTCAAACCCGGTTCTCCCAGATTAGAGTCCGCGCACTTAACCACTACACCAAACTGGCCATACACCAAGAAAGCAGCTGCAAAGGAGTACACACACACGTACATACACACACTTCATTTCCTTGTAGTATAGATATTGAACTGTAGCAAAGACACCAATGGCTTGGATCCTGTGAACATGGTTGCCAGCCTCCAGGTGGCGTCTGGAGATGGCCAACTACAGGGCATAGAGGCCGAGGCCTTCCCCATGTTGCCTCCTGGCATTGGGATTCAGAGGCTTAGTGCCTCTGAACGTGGAGGTTCCTCTCAGTCACCATGGCTAGTAGCCATTGATAGACTTATTCTCCGTGAATCTGTCTAATCCTCTTTTAAAGCTTTTAATTCCTTTGGCCATCACTTCATCATCTGGCAGCGAATTCCATGTTTTAATTACACTCTGGGTCAAATAGTATTAAAGCGTCTTCATGAACGCTTTAATGTAGATCTAATGGGTGCAAATTGCAAGGGAGTCATTACTGGCTAAATATCAGGAGAAACTTCCTAACTAAGAGTGGTTAGAGATTGGATTTATACCCCACCCTTCACTCAGAGTCTCAGAGCAGCATACAAACTTCCTTTCCCTTCCCCTCCCCACAACAGACACCCTGTGAGGTAGGTGGGGCTGAGAGAGCTCTTTCGAGGACTGCTCTTGAGAGAACAGCTCTGAAAGAACTTGTAACTGACCCAAGGTCATCCAGTAGCTGCATGTGGAGGAGTGGGCAATCAAACCTGGTTCTCCCAGATTAGAGTCCGCGCACTTAACCACTACACCAAACTGGCCATACACCAAGAAAGCTGCAAAGGAGTACACACACACGTACACACACACACTTCATTTCCTTGTAGTATAGATATTGAACTGCAGCAAAGACACCAATGGCTTGGATCCTGTGAACAGGATTGCCAGCCTCCAGGTAGCGTCTGGAGATGGCCAACTACAGGGCATAGAGGCCGAGGCCTTCCCCATGTTGCCTCCTGGCATTGGGATTCAGAGGCTTAGTGCCTCTGAACGTGGAGGTTCCTCTCAGTCACCATGGCTAGTAGCCATTGATAGACTTATTCTCCGTGAATCTGTCTAATCTTCTTTTAAAGCTTTTTATTCCTGTGGCCATCACTTCATTCTCTGGCAGCGAATTCCATGTTTTAATTACTCTCTGGGTCAAATAGTATTAAAGCATCTTCATGAACGCTTTAATCTAATGTAGATCTAATGGGTGCAAATTGCAAGGGAGTCATTACTGGCTGAATATCAGGAGAAACTTCCTAACTAAGAGTGGTTGAGCAGTGGAACAGTCTGCCTCAGGAGGTGGTGGATGCTTCTTTGCTGGACGTTTTCAAGCGGAGGCTGGACGACCATCTTTTGAGTATGTTGTAGGGCTATCTTTCGGCTGTGCTCCTGCAGAGCGCAGGCGGTTGGACTGGATGACCTGCAAGGTCCCTTCCAACTCTTAACATTCTATGATTCTATAAACCATGCCGTTATAATAAAGCCCTATTAGTTTTGTAAAAATGCCCTCCTGAATAATTCAGATGTGCAGGGTTTGTGGAACACCAGGAGAGTGGAAGCCTTCCTAACCTCTTCAGGCAGGCCTTTCCACAGGGCAGGGGCCACAACAGAGAATACATATGTACAGGCAGTTGTTGATCTTGCCCATTTGCAGGGTGGCACCCGCAGAAGGCCCTGTTCAGAGGAGCGAAGGTGACGAGGCAGAGCATAGGGGAGAATGCAGTCTTGCAGTGATGAGGTACCAAGGCCACGAAAGGATTTGTATGTGATAGCCAATACCTTGCATTGAACCCAAAGAAGTGGGCACTGACTCACGGAAGGTCATCCCCTGCCACAAATTTTGTTAGTCTTCAGGGTGCTACTGGGTTCTTGCTCTTTTCTGTTGCGTTGAACCCAGTAATTGATGGGCAGGAAGTGGAGCCACTGTTCTGTCTAGCTCCGTCCCGAGTCCTGATAATAATTGACCTGCCAACATTTTGCACCAATTGGAGTCTCCACATTGACTCTGAGGGCAGACCTATGTAAGGTGCATTACAGTAGTCTAGCCTTGATGTTACTATGGCATGGATTCAGGTGGCTAGATTGGCCAAGTGAAGGTAGAGGGCCAACTTCTGGGCTAAACTCAGTTGGAAGAAAGTGTTTTTTTGCCTCTGCGTTAACTTGCTTCTCCAGAAATAATGTTGGATTCACTATAATCCCCTAAGCACCTGACCGAGTCAGCACATTAAAATGAAACTGACTCCAGCACTATCAATGTATGTGTTGTACTTTAGAAAAAATAAGTGCGACCAAAAAAAGGGAGGAAAAACACAACCCTGTATGATAAAGGTAACCAAAAAGGTTGAGACAAAGAAAAAGAAACTAAGATATAGCTATGCAAGTAGCATTAATGTACTAAATATCATATATAATCTAATTATACATTCAAAAGTGCCAAAATATCATTTAAAAACCACAATCCATTGGTTCTGCACATGGGTACCTAATTCTAATATAACAACAAATGTCCAATCATATAAGAAGAAGAAGAAGAAGGGTTTGGATTTATACCCTGCCCTTCACTAACCAAAGGTGTCTCAGAGTGGCTTACAAGCTCCTTCCCCTCCCCACAACAGACACCCTGTGAGGTAGGTGGGGCTGAGAGAGCTCTGACAGAAACTGCTCTTTTTCAAGAACAGCTCTTACCAGAAGATCAACAACCTCAGATATGCAGACGATACCGCTCTAATGGCAGAAAGTGAAGAGGACCTTAAGAGCCTCTTGCTCAGGGTAAAATAGGAGAGCGCAAAAGTGGGCTTGAAGCTCAACATCAAAAAAACTAAGATCATGGCATCCGGCCCCATCACTCCTTGGCAAATAGAAGGGGAAGTCGTGGAAGTAGTGACAGACTTCACGTTCCTGGGATCCCAGATCACCGCAGACTGTGACAGCAGCCATGAAATTAAAAGACGCCTGCTCCTTGGGAGGAAAGCGATGGTGAACCTAAACAGCATGATAAAAAGTAGAGACATCACTCTGCCAACAAAAGTCCGCATGGTCAAAGCAATGGTATTCTCAGTAGTCATGTATGGCTGTGAGAGTTGGACTATAAGGAAGGCCAAGCACCGAAGAATAGATTCTTTTGAACTATGGTGCTCTTGAGAGTCCCTTGGACTGCAAGAAGTTCAAATCAGTCAATCCTAAAAGAAATCAACCCTGACTGTTCCCTGGAAGGCCAGATAATGAAACTGAAGCTCAAATACTTTGGCCACCAAATGAGAAGGGAGCAATCACTGGAGAAGACCCTGATGCTGGGAAAGATTGAAGGTCAAAGAAGACGGGGACTGCAAAGGATGAGATGGTTAGACAGTGTCATCGATGCAACGAACATGAAATTGAGCCAACTTCAGAGGACGGCGGAAGACCGGAAGGCCTGGTGTGATCTGGTCCATGGGGTCGCGAAGAGTCGGACTCGACTGTGCGACGGAACAACTTATCAGAACTACGACTTGCCCAAGGTCATCCAGCCAGGTGCAAGTGGAGGAGTGGGGAATCAAACCTGGTTCTCTCAGATTAGTCTGCGCACTTAGCCACTACACCAACCTGTAAATACAGGTTATAAAGTACAAATTATATCCATGTACAAGAACCAATACCAAATGTGTTTCAGCTAAAAGCCTTCCTCAGTGGAAAAATTCAAACTAAGCGCTCTATAAATTTAACAAAAATATACATAAAAGTCATCATACACAGAATGGACCTAAAATGAAAGGGGGGGGGGAATAACTATCTGTTAAGCAACAACAACAAAAATTAAATTTCAATATTTTGAAATTTATGGATCTGGGATAACTACCTTATTCACATTGAGAGTTTCACCTGTGGAGTAAGTCATGATAAATATTCTTGAGATGCAACATGAGCAATTTATCAAGATGCACAATATTTATATGATTGGACATTTGATTTGTATTTATATGACTGGACATTTATCTTTATATCAGGATTAGGTAACCATGTACAGAACCATAGGATTGTGGATTTTAAATGATATTTCAGGACTTTGGAAGGTATAATTAAATCACATATGATATTTTGCACATCAGCACTACCCACCTCACAAAAAATTACAGTTTGGGGAGCGTGAAACACAATAGGTCAATTGACCATTAAGACCGAGGAATATGTGGAGTATGGAACTGTAAGCAATCAGAAAACAAAGTTTCCACAGTGTTTTCCACTTGTTGAAGTCCTTTTTGTCCCAGTCCCTGTTATGGGTAGGCAGGGTGGATGGTGATTGGTAGAAAGTGCTATCAAATCACAGCCGACTAATGGTGACCCCGTAGGGTTTTCAAGACAGGAGAAGAACAGAGGTGGTTTGCCATTGCCTGCCTGGACTTCCTTGATTGGTCTCCCATCCAAATGTTTGCCAGGGCCCACCCTCCTTGGCTTCCAGGATATGACGAGGTCAGGCTACCCTGGGCCATCTAGATCTGGCAAAGATCATACTACGTGGGCAGAAATCCTTGTTCTCATAGAAACACCAGTCAAGATCGCAGCTTTGAACGTTCTCATTTGCCAGGACTGAAAGATGGGGGCTAACCATGGTAACGTTCTCTGTAATTAGACCGAGCTTGGTGGACATGTCTCCTAATGTTCCTTTGCCCTTTCTTCCAGATTAAGCCAGACTTTGGTGAAGGACGTCGCGATCCTGGCTCGAGAGATTCACGATGTCGCTGGGGACGGGGACTCCCAGAGCTCCTCGGGACCGAGCACTTCCCTCAGTTCTGTGCCGAATACCCCCGCGTCGACCATATCGGCAAGGGAAGAGGTGAGGCGGATGGCTAAAACTTGTGTGTACAAAGCAGAACAGAAGAGGGTAGAACGAAGGTTCTCGAAGTGCCCTTCTTAGGACTTCGAAAGGTATAACTCCGTTTTGGATGACGCCATTGGTGGAAAGGCTCCCTTGTTATTCCATACCCCCCACCCCCACCCCAGTCTCTATTTTGAAATGTTATGAGGCTCTGCTCCTTATTCCTCAGCCTGGGAAACCCATAATTACACCCCTGGTACATTTTCGGGCACCTATCACTTAACGGTTGTCCTCCTTGAGGAAAAGTGATTATTTCTTAGTTTACCAGTGACACACTGGACAGTAGTCCAAATGCGCTCGCAAGGTTGCTCTTAATGTTGGCATTTCGTCAAGTTCTTGCCCCCAAGTTCTTCTTTCAGTTTCCTCCGGGGGGGGTACTACAAAGGTAGATGTTACACATCTGATTATGTTCAGAGTCCGTTCTCGTGGTTGAAAATTAAGTCTGAGCTTCAGGGTTGTCATATGACATGGAGCAACCTACCCCACCCCACCCCAGTGATGGGCTAACTTAAAGCATGACTTCCGCGTTGGCTCTCCATGCTCATTCATTCTGCATGCTCATTTGCACCAGCTTAGAGTTGCTACTCCTGCGCCTGTGAGGTTAAGGTGGGGGTAGAGGGTAATTCCTTCCAGGTGGACGTCTGCTTTCCTTTGAATCTTGCAATGGGCTTGGCACACTTCTACTCATCGTGCTGGAACTATGGATGATAACCCTTGTGGAACCCTTTGGCTTGGCCCTGCCTTCCTACAGTTTCATGCCCTCCACCTTACATTGACCTCTGCCATTCCTGAATAGCAGAACAGTGCTCTGACAACACAGGGTTAAGAAAGGCAGTTGCCTCCCTCTTATTGTTGGTGTAGTGAGCCAGCTTGGTGTAGTGGTTAAGAGCGGCGGGCTCTAATCTGGGGAACCAGTCTTGATCCCCCCCCCATAGGAAGCCAGCTAGGTGACCTTGGGTCAGTCACAGTTCTCTCAGTGCTGTTCTCTCGAGAGCAGTTCTCTCAGAGTTCTCTCGGCCCCACCTACCTCACAGGGTGTCTGTTGTGGGGAGAAGAAAGGAAGGAGATTGTATGCCGTTCTGAGACTCCTTTGGGTACTGAAGGGTGAGGTATAAAACAAACTCTCCTCCTCCTCCTCCCCCTTCTCCTCCCCTTTCTCCTCCTCCTCCTTCTCCTCTGTGGGACAAGGAATGCCCAAGATTTACCGTAGTGGTACCATAAACCCAGTGCTTGACCCCAAACCTCCAAGGGCAAGAGAGTCAGTGTGGTGTTGTGGTTGGAGTGTTAGATTAGGATGTGGGGGAGACAGATTCAGCATTCTGCTGTGAAGCCTGCTTGGTGTTGCTGGGGCCACTTGCACTCTTTCAGATGACCCTGAAATGTGAGAATAAAATCCAGAAAGGGGTATGCCATCCTGAACACTTTGGAGAAAGGGGTGAGATATAAAATGTGCAAGATAGAAGCAGGATTAGCCAACCGATAACTTTGTTATCTTTTTACACACAAACTCGCCCTGTCATCACTGCGATCAGACATCCTGAACTCCAAAAAAAACCCCTCTGTTTTCTCAGTTCGTCTCCTGGTTGCACCAAGCTTGTGTAACTCAGCCAGCTGACCCTGAAATGTGAGAATAAAATCCAGAAAGGGGTATGCCATCCTGAACACTTTGGAGAAAAGGGGTGAGATATAAAATGTGCAAAATAGAAGCAGGATTAGCCAACCGATAACTGTGTTGTCTTTTTACACACAAACTCGCCCCGTCATCACTGCGATCAGACATCCTGAACTCCAAAAAAAACCCCTCTTGTTTTCTCAATTCGTCTCCTGGTTGCACCAAGCTTGTGTAACTCAGCACGGTTAAGCCAGAGTGATGGTTTGCCAGTAGAGCATGGATAATGTTGGGATTAAATTGCACACCTGTAGATCTTGTTATTTTTGAGCTTCCAGATAACAAGTCTCCCTCTTGCCTCGCAGTTTCAGCTGGACTTTTTATTACCTGTAAGTAAAATATCAATACGCACCGCACCTCTTTTCTCAGAAATAGATTAGTATAGAGATATAGAGTCTTTGTGTATGTGCTTTGTTTGGTGCTTTGTAAGACATGCGGCTTCCCCGTCCTTAAAACTAAAGAACTGGGAGTTGAAATTGAAACCTAAAACCTACATTAAAAAAAAAAATCCATTCTCATCCCAGCCTGCTTAATTAGAGACAATCTGATCTATCTGTTGACTGTCTGATATTGTTTTGTTCTTATCAATGGAGATCAATGTTCCCACTAAGCTGTGTAGGCTTGTGAGCAAAAATTCTACTTGGTGAGCTACTGGCATTAAAGTTGTGAGTGAGCAATTTGGCTACTGCATAAATTAGTTTGCTCTGGAGCCATCCTTCCTGAGCTAAGGCAAAAATGTGTTAGCCAGAGGCTAAAATAGTGTGAGCTAGCTAATTCAGTTTAGAGGGAACACTGATGGAGATTCCTGTTTTTTTCTAGAATGGCGAGAGAAACGAACAGATTACACGAACACGCATCACCATCTTATGGGTTCAGATTAAATCGCTAAAAGATAGCTAAGATATATTTTTAAAAAACCCTCAGTCTCTCATAGCAGATGTAGCTTGTGCAGTGATTTGCTGGGAGGAGATCTGTGGGTTCTAGATCAAGTCAAACCTGAACTCTCCCTAGAAGATAAAATGACTAAACTGAGGCTATCATACTTTGGTTACATTATTAGAAGACAGAGTCACTGGAAAAGACAATAATGCTAGGAAGAGTTGGAGGCAGCAGGAAAAGAGGAAGACCCAGCACGAGATGGATCAGTCAAGGAAGCCACAAGGGCCCTCAGTTTGCAAGACCTGAGCAAGGCTGTTAACGATGGGACGTTTTGGGTGGTTATTAATTCATAGGGTATCCATAAGTTGAAAGTGACTTGACAGCGCTTAACGGACACCTCCCATCTACAACCACTGACAGTGTTGCAGTGCCATGCCCGGCAACCAGTGGGAGCTTGGGGGGGGGGCGGAGATGTAGGTGAGAGCACATGGCATTGTGTGTGCCATGAGGTCATTTCCAGGAAAACCCAGAAGTGACATTGTGTCGCTCTAGGAATCACTGGAAACTCTATGGTAAAATCATAGTTTTTTCCGGTGCTTCGTAGAGTGACGTGGTATCACTTCCGGGTTTCCCCTGGAAGTGTCATCACACCACGTGCAATGACATTCTTTTGAATAAACGTTTTCTCCTGCTGCCGCTCAGGGTAGCGGTGGGCAATATGGGGTGCTGGTGGGAGGTCTCCTTCCTGATAGCTGTAGCCACTGTGCATCTCTGAAGGGGATTTATGCTTTTACCAGGGGGGGTCAGAAAATGGCAACAAAGACACTGGGGCTGCTGCAGCATCATATAGGTGCACAGCTGCTGAGCAGGTACCAGAACCCAGTGCTGACAAATGGTGTCTTCGCTTGCATCCAAGGCGGGTGCTACTAATCCACTGAGTAACCACGGATTCGCAAGATGCTGCAGGAACAACTTTGGTGCCTCTGTTACCATCTCCTGATACCCTCCAGTAAAGGTGCCAAATTCCTCTCCCCCTTCATTGGCACTCTTGTCATAGTAGCTCAGATTTTTTTCAGTGTAGCACCACACCAGCCGTGATTGGTCATAGGGGTCAGCAGTTGGAGGCCCCAGGGTAAAGAAATGGCCTCTGAAAGCTATCCATTGCCACCTGGAAAGCCAACTTAGGCTGCGGTCACACGCAACATTAGCCACGCAAGAGATACGGAAGAGAAGCGGAGTTTCCGGTCGCGATCTCACCAGCACATCTGGGAAGCGTAGCGCTTCTGTGGCACAACTGAGGCTTCCTGCCGAAAAAGCGCAGCAAAAAACTAGTACCTTGGAGGTACTAGTTTCCAGAAACTGCGGGGCAAGGGCGGGCGTCTGATCGCGTTTCCGGTGGTATCCGGCGCCCGCCCATGTCCCCTTGCGGAAAAGGGTTTTTTTTCCCCCACGTCTCCGTGGATGCGCACACGCACCCAACGGAGCATGCGCATTCATAGTGTACACAAAAAAAGAAAACCAGTTCGCCGCGCCGCGCGCTTCTTCATTGCGCGCAGGCGTGTGTTGTGATCGGCACCTCTCCCTTGCCATGGAACCTCCACAGTACCTCCACAGAACCTCCACAGTAGGTCTGATCGCTTTACTGCATGTTAGTTTGCCCCGGGGCAAACAGCCACACTTCTCCTCTGCAGTTTCCTGCCCGTGTGACAGGGGCCTGTGATACGTGAAGGTTCTGTTACGGCTCCTTTAATTTGACTTTGGCCCTCTGGAATGTGCTTCCCTATACTTTTGCCTCTGGGTTTGTCCATGGTCTGTGTGACTGTGTGTACAGATTCTGTCAATCTTGTGGCCTGCACTGATCTGTCTCTCTCTCTTTTTCTTCCTGACTTTTTCTAAAATACAGATTTCTCATTCATCCTTACGGGCAGCAATTCCATCTCAGGTGCATTTTCCATCCCATTAGTGTTCCCTTCCCAGCACTGCAGAGTTCTTTTAAACTTTTTTTTGGCCTCATTACGTGGATCAGTTTTCAACTAAAAATATAGTTGACTTCTTTGTAAGCCTTGCTAGTTTTATATTATTTCCTGCTTTGTCGCCTCGCCTTTTCCTTCTCTGTCTCTCTCTCTTTTTTTTTGTGCTGAATTTTAGAATCAGATGCATACATTTTTATTTCCTGACCTCATCATGTTATACATTTGTTAAAGAGTGAATTCAGAAAAGATAAGATGCGTAGGGTGAATTTGGGGATTTAGAAATGCCTTCTCACAATTGGCTTCATCCCGGACTCCTCCACATTTTTGATACAACATCACATGTGGCGTGTATGTGTATAGACTCTCATGCACCCGTGCTAAATGTGTGCAGTCTGTGATTGTGAAGGGCAAAGAATGTACATGCTTAGGCTGACGCGTACAGGAAATTAACCTTGGAGGCTATGGAACAGGAAAGAATCAACCCTGCTAGCCTACCGTGTTGGGTTTACCCAGTTTGTAATCTGTGTACATCGGACAAGTGAATGCAAAAGACAGGGCATTACAGGAGAGTGTTAGTTAATTGAGTGGTGGTGGAAAGTGCCATCAAGTGTACGACCTCATAGGAGGGTTTTCAGGGCAAGAGATGAACAGAGGTGGTTTGCCACTGCCTGCCTCTGTGTAGCAACCCTGGACTTCCTTGGTGGTCTCCCATCCTAATACTAACAAGGGCCAACCCTGTTTAGATTCTGAGATCTGATGAGATTGGACCATCCAGGTCAGGGCCCAGTTAATTAAGTACCTGGTTGTGTAGAAATTGGTGTGCGGAATGCATTGCACTGTTAGGAATGTTTAATATATTAATTGAAACCAGATTGAGAAAAGTCTTTGGTGAAAGTCTAAGCAGTTCCTTAACTGTGGAATGACGCGGAACTTGCTATACAAGAATGCCGCAGAATACGGTGTCCCTGTAATGAGTTATCTCAGTCTTATCCCGTAATTTGTCATCGTGGTAGAACAAAGTTTGAGTCCAGCGGCGCCTTTAAGACCAACCAAAATGTCTTCATGGTGTGAGTTTTCTCACCAGTAGCAGCCAATGCTGTGGGATCAGGGCAGGAAAGCGTTCCATGACGTGTCACGTCATGTCCCAGAGAAAAGAGCAGACAATCCAGGGATAACCTTTTCCATACTGTGTATAATGTGGCTGTAGCTCAATGGCAGAGCCTCTACTTGGCACACAGAAGGTCCCGGGTTCAGTACCTGACATCTCCAGTTGAAAGGAGCATTTAGTAGGTAACGTGAAAGACCTCTGCTCTAAGACCCTAGAGATCTGCTGCCAGTCTGAGTAGGCAAGACTGACTTGGTGGACCAATGGTCTGATTCGGTCTAATACAACCGCATGGCAACGTTAAAATTATGTCAACAATAAATGTATATAACTCCTGATTTTTTGCGACCAGCGGTAACGATTGTAAGAAAGGTTGTTGACTTTATTCTTGACTGGCGCTTCAAAAAATAAATTTTGTTACTTACGTGGATCATAATTTTCTGATGAAGGATTTAGAAACGTTGACCGGATCTGGAAGCGGCGTCACAACTATCGGCTTCCCCTCATAACAAGAAGAATGATTTCTCTTCGTGACAAGTGGATTTGGCAAAATTGGGACTAATTTTTGCAGCTAGTCAGTGGCTTGGTAAATTATTTCTCAAGAATGAGCCTCAGGGACCACTGGTGCTAATTAGGTTCCTGTATGATACGCTCCTTCAAGTGGAAGTTACAGAAATACCAGTATTCCTTTATGATCTTTGTATCTGTTCTAATTGATTGCCGTATTAATATATTTTGTATTGTAATTGTTCTAATTGATGATAACGTTGAAGGTCACAAAAATTGAAGGTTACGAAAAAGCCTGAAGTTGTATAAATGTATTGTTGACATAATTTTAACGTTGCCGCGCAGTTATATTATATTGTGGTTTCATGTTTGACAACTGTGGATTCTTGTCTGAATACTGATTCAGTCTTAAGGCAGCTTCATGTGTTTGTGTGGCATTTCAGCCAGGGCGAAGCAGGATTGGTATTAGGGAGCAAGTCCTGCATTTGCTTACTTATTCCCCTCCGTGTTTTGTTCTTGCAAATGCCATTTGGTCATCTCGTCATTGTTCTGTCTTTTCAAGCTGGTGCAGCACATACCAGAAGCGAGCCTGAACTACCAGAAGGTGCCTCCTGGTTCAACGGGGTTCAGCGATTTCGACCAAAACATGAACGATAGCCGGGAAGAGGATCTCACGAGAAAAACCAGGATGAGGAACAGGGATGAGGCAAGTTAGTCTCTCTTTGTCTGTAGTTGACAGCAGTTGGCGTGAACAAAACTTCTGCCTAGCTGAGATACTTAACTAAGGACTGTTCTTTGGGGGATGTTCTTTCTGGATATTGAACAGTGTTGGGATTCTTTTGTTTCAGGGTTGATGGTTGTATCGCAAACACAAGAGCCACACTTAGTAAAAGAAAAAAATAGCTACTATAGAAAGAAAATAGAACATGGGTATGGTACTTTGGATAAAAGAAATAAAATAAAAGGTTACATACTTAGTTACTCTCAGTAATCTATGCTAACAGCTACATCTTTCTATCTGTCTTGGCTTCTAGAAGAGAACTACCCGTTTTGGTTCACACAAAGGGCCATAAACTTATGAATACATTAATGCTATATCAAAGCATTTCTAGAAACAAGATGTTAGTTGACCAATACAAAGGTTACAGGTCACTTCATTAGGATAAACAACTCCCACAAACTTTCCCGCCGTTGAATACATTATGTAACGTAACGTCGTGTTTCCTAACAAAGAACATTTAACTCTGTAATGACTGAAGTGTAAGCAACTTGCAGTTCCAACAAACAGGGGTCACTGGGGGTGTCAGGGGAGGGAGGTATTTGTTAATCTCCTGCACTGAGCAGGGGGTTGGACTAGATGACCCTGGAGGTCCCTTCCAACACTATGATCCCAGAATCCCCCAGCTGCAGGGATTCTTTGTTGTAACAATTCTGGTAAATGCTGACTTCCGTTGAAGCAAATGCTGCCATTACGATTCTTCTGTCCTGATTATGTTTCAGGTCATTTTTGACAACCTGATGCTCAACCCAGTGTCCCAGCTGTCTCACACCATCCGTGAAAACACAGAAACCCTGGCTGAGAAAATGAAGTGAGCCGATAAGCCTTTAACCCGAAGTGTGCAGCAGTGGAATAACACGGCTTTACCCAAGAGTTGTGTTACAAAGGAGGGAAATGTTTTGGTTTTTTTTAATATGGCAAAAATGAGAACGGGCAAGCCTAAAATATTAGGCTGTGTTTGTTTGTTAGTTTGTTTGTTTAGATTTGCTAGGCCGCCCTTCCCTACAAGCAGGGCTCAGGACGGCATACAACAAAATAATATACACATTTCAGATTAAAACTAATTTTAAAACAGCCTAATAAATACTAATACATAAAACAGCATAGGTAAAGGTAAAGGTAAAGGTTCCCTTGCTCGAAAGCCAGTCGAATCCGACTCTAGGGTTGCGGTGCTCATCTCCATTTCCAAGCCGAAGAGCCAGCGCTGTCTGAAGACGTTTCCGTGGTCATGTGGCTGGCATGACTAAACACCAAGGCGCACGGAACGCTGTTACCTTCCCACCGAAGTGGTACCTATTTATCTACTTGCAATTTCTTGCTTTCGAACTGCTAGGTTGGCAGGAGCTGGAACTAGAGACAGGAGCTCACTCCGTCTTGCGGCACCCGGGTCTCGAACTGCTGAACTACTGACCTTCCACAGCCTGCAGTTCAGCGTCTTAACCACTTGAGCCACCGCAGCATAGACGAGATGGCAAAAACGCAGCAAATATAAGATGGCAGAAAGGATTCCAACTCCCCAGCCTCCCCAGGGGGAGGGGCTGCGAGGGATGGGGGTTTGTGTGAGAGTGCCAAAGGACGCCCCCATCGCTGTCCTCAACTGAAGGCCCGGCGGAACATCTCTGCCTTGCATGCCCTGCGGAATGGTAGCAACTCCCGCAGGGCACGGATGTCTTCCGGCAGAGCGTTCCACCAGGCGGGGGCCACGGCTGAAAAGGCCTGGCCCTGGTCGAGGACAGCCAGACTTTTCTCTCAGTTCAGGAGAGAATTGGGAAGGGTAATCTACGTCACAATTTAATAAGTGACTTTGACAGAAGGCACATCTGCGAAAGCTTTACGTGCTGAGCAGTTAAGACTTAAGAATTCAGGACACACTTTGTTTTTCTTTTTTTTTAGTTTTTATTTATGGTTTTTACAATGTAAACAATATACGCTAGGCTACTTTGATCCCGGTGTGTTGCTGTAAGAAGGGGTTTCTTTCAGCAAGCGGAACTTCCCGCATTCCCACCTTTCACTGCAGCCCAAAATACTCCCTGAAATGTTGTTCCTGGAGGATGGGGGACCCCCAAGAAAGAGGGAAGAGTAGGAGGTCATCAGTAAAAGGGTGAAATGGCTGGGAAACCCCTCCTAGAAGTTCAGCTCGTTGCCCTGATGGTTCATGACTTTGAGTGATGATACAGTTCCTGACACTTTGATGAAACTTTGTCTGTCTTGTTTTCAGAGTCCTTTTCCAGAACACTGAGCGGACGTGGGAGGAGATGGAGGCCAAAATTAACTCTGAAAACGAAGTGCCAATTCTGAAGACCTCAAACAAGGTGGGTAATAGTGTCCTAAATCCTGTTCTAGGAAACTTGACTTCAAAAGCAGATCTGAAATATGTATTGCACAGCTGCGAATCAGCTGATTCCCCCACACCCTCTTTTCAGACCAAAAAAAATGGCTTCCAAAGTAGCTTACAGCGATCAAAAGTGTATACCAATGCCAATTAAATGTATTGACCCCAGGTGTCATGGCTGCTTCCTCTCCCTCTCTCTGTCTCTCTCTGTCTCTGTCTCTGTCTCTCTCTCTGTCTCTCTCTGGCTGATGGCAGCTGATAGCTGGAATAATGAATGAGAAATGAATGGTGAGCATTAAAATATGTGGTGTTGCGATTAGAATGACAAACGAGGATCGGGTAGACCAGAGTTCAAATGCCCCACTCAGCCACGGAGGCTTGCTGGCTGGTCTTAGAATCATAATATTTCATTTTAGTTTACCTCCCAGGATTAAGTGGAAGAAAAAGAAGAGGAGGTTTTTATACCCCGCTTTTCTCTACCTTACGGAGTCTCAAGGCAGCTTACAATGGCAGTCTCTTCCTCTCTCCACAACAGGCACCTCTAAGCGGAGCAGAAATTCTACTTTGTGAGCGACTGGCATTAAAGTTGTGAGCGAGTGATTTGGCTGCTGCATGAATCAGTTTGCTCTGGAGCAGTGTTCCCTCCAAGCTGAGCTGGTGTGAGCTAGCTCACAGTTTTTTAGCCTCCGGCTCACACCTTTTTGTCTTAGCTCAGGAAGGAGGGCTCCAGAGCAAACTGATTTATGCAGCAGCCAAATGGCTCGCTCACAACTTTAATGCCAGTAGCCCACAAAGTAGAATTTTTGCTCACAAGACTCCACAGCTCAGAGGGAGTGTTGCTCTGGAGCCATCCTTCCTGAGCTAAAACAGAAATTTGTGAGCCGAAGGCTAGAAAACTATGAGCTAGCTCACACTAACTCAGTTTTGAGGGAACACTGCTTGTGAGGCAGGTGGGGCTGAGAGAGTTCTGAGGAGTGGAGAATCAAACACGGTTTGATTCCTCCTTCATGTGGAGGAGGAGGAGTGGGAAATCAAACATGGTTCTCCAGAATGGACTCCTCCACTCTTAACCACCACACCACATTGACTCTCATCAACATTGCACTTGAGTTCCTTCCATGGAAGAAGGGCGGGATGGAAATATATAGATAGAATTTGAGGTTTGGAACTGAGTTTGGGCTGCCCCTTGCCTGCTTAGTTGAATCCTACTGGGGGACTGTACCCATTGACCCTTTAATTAGTTTTACACACTCTCTTTTCAGAATTCTTTTAAACTTTCCTTTACAGTACTTGGTGAGTAGACTTGTTCTCCAGAAGCCAGAGTTATAGAATTGGGTTCCAGCCCATTTGGAAATGTGGCTTTTTTAAAAATAGGGTTTCGTGCACGATGATGTCTACTTTTTCTAGATTTAAGGAACTGTGTTGTGCGACTACGTGAAAATTCCACGGCAATGCCACCACGATAGTGGGATCAAAAAATCAAGTTTGACTAATCGGGTTTCAGGCACTTAAATGAAGAGTAAACATTTGGATTTGGAAATGGTGCCCAGCTTTGTACTTTTGGGTGTAGGAATCTGTACAGATCTAGAACTAAAGTATAAATGAACAAAAGTGGAATAAATCGAAGTCTCTATGGTTGCCTTGACCACCTGTGTTCTGACTGACTACCCTCATTGTTGCTTATTGCTAGGAGATCAGCTCAATTCTGAAGGAGCTAAGAAGAGTCCAGAAACAACTTGAAGGTTGGTTAAATACCTGTTACTAGACTCCTCTCTTGACCTGGATAGCCCGATCTCATCAGATCTCAGGTGTCGTTAGTTGGAAATGTTTGTTGCCTTGTTCCCAGCCAAAAATATAACTCCCTTTTTTTTTTACTGTTGCATCCCTTGGGGCTAGCCCGATCTTGACAGATCTCAGAAGCTAAGCAGGGTTGGCCCTGGCTAGTATTTGGATGGGAGGCCTCCAAGGAATCCCAGAGTTGTGATGCAGAGTCAGGCAATAGCAAACCACCTCTGAACATCTCTTGCCTTGAAAACCCAATGGGGGTGTCATAAGAACATAAGAGAAGTGTTGGGATTCTTTTTGATAAACTCAGCAGAGTATTAAAGAGACTGAGTCCATGGTGTGTATTTAAAATATAAAAGTATACTATAAACCTAACATTGGGAAAAGGGTACCCAGGATATAAAATAACAAAGAGCTTACACGCCTACATCCTTACATCTAAAGAGGTAAAACTGGAATGGCGTCTTCTTCTCTAGTCAAAACAAAGAAACACAAAGACGGAAGAGAAGCCATAAAATGCTAATACTTGACACCTTAGTTTCCAATCAGAGTAACAAACTAGCTCCAAAGTTCCCGGGCATCCTATTGTCTAAATAGATTCGTTACAAACAAACATGTGAGTTAACAAACATCATTAACCCAGTAAATACTGAAGTGTTTTAACTTGTAACACCCAACAAGAAGCCAATGTTGGACAAGGCCAATGGCCCATCCAGTCCCACACTCTGTCACACAGTGGCCAAAAATACCAGGTGCCAACAGGAGGTCCAGCAGTGGAACCAGGTCACTAGAAGCCCTCCCACTGTTCCCACCCCCAGGCACCAAGAATACAGAGCATCACCTGCCCCAGGCCGAGAGTTCCCATCTATCCCTTGTGGTGTGACTTGATGGCACTTCCCACCCCCACAGACGCCTCTCACTGAACTGTACTGAACTCCCTGTTGAGATGTGCCACGTCGTCGTCTTGCTGAGTGATGAGATCACAGAATTAGTAACACCGGATGATGCCGCAGTCCCGTTCCTCCCCTGCCAAGACGGCAGCCGTGTGCAAACCCAGGGGTTGAGTTTCCCCATAGCTCTTCTGCACTTATGCTCCCTATTCAATTTTCCTAAAAGCCTTAAGGGAAAAAAAATGTGTCATGATGATTGCGGCTGTGTAGTGCCGCTGCGTCCCAAGATGCAGATGAGCAAGTCAGTGAATGGCTGGAGCCACTTATGTAAATGACTGCAACTTTAGGGTTTCATTAATGTAACGGATGTCAGTTCTTGCTACTTTTAATTGCCTTGTTGAAACCCCGCTTCTCTCGCCATGTTGTATTGTCCCATATTAGGACTTGAGGGAGCCAGTTATCTTTTGCCGGTTTGTATTGTACTGGGAACACCTTAAAATAGGGTTGTTGTTTTTTAAAAAAAGGAGAGGATCCCAACTCCTCAGGGCCGAGATCCCGCATGGATGTTAATCGCGTGGCAATTTCAAGACTTTCGTGTATGAAAGAGCCATCCCAGAGCAGAAACCGCAGTCTGATGCCCACTTAGCATCTCCTTGGAGACGGTAGTGGGTAGTTCATTGGCATAGCTGTCCATCTTCAAAGGTCGTGCAGCTGAGCACAGAGACTTCTCTTGCTGCTTCAGAGTGCAAAACTAGACCTAAGAGGCTTAAATTATGGGACGGCAGATTGAAGGTAAACATTAGGATACAAGTCGTAATGGGAAGAAACAATTCAGTGGTGGAACCACTTACGTTGGGGTGGAGTGGGGGGGCTGTTCCTCAGTGGAGGTTTTCAGGTAAGGCAGGCATCCATCTACCTTCAGAACCTAAGAAGAGCCCTGCTGGACTAGACCAGGGGTTCATCCAATCCGGCTTCCTGCCTCACACAGTGGGGGATCAACAACAGGGCATAGAGGCCGAGGTCTTCCCCTCATGTTGCCTCCTGGCACTGGGATTCAGAGGATTAGTGCCTCTGAATGTAGAGGTTCCCTTTAGTCACCATGGCTAGTAGCCACTGATCGACTCATCCTCCATGAATCGGTCTAATCCCCTTTTAAACCTGTCTATAGCCTCGGCCACACGGGCAGGAAAATGCGGGGGGGAGGCGTGGCTGTTTGCCCCGGAGCAAACTAACGCGCGGCTGTGCGATCAGGCTTCGGGTTGAGGTCCTGTCGAGCTCCCGTGGTTAGGGGGGAGGTGCCGATCACACACGTAGGAAAGGAGCGGCGCAGCAAATGGGGGTGTGTTTTGTTTTTAAAACTGAAATGTGCGCATGCTCCGTTGGGTGCTTGTGCGCATCCGTGGAGACTTGGGGGGAAAAAAACCTTTTTGCGAGGGGACATGGGTGGGCGCCGGAACTACCACCGGAAATGCGATCAGACGCCCGCCCTTGCCCCGCGGTTTCCGGAAACTAGTACCTCGGAGGTACTAGTTTTTTACCCCGCCTCTTCGGCGGGAAGCCTCCGGTGCACCACGGGAGCTCTACACTTCCCAGATGTGGTGGTGAGATCGCGCCCGGAAAATCCGCCTATCTTCCGTCTCTCTAGCGTGTGACCGGGGCCCAAGGGGATGCTGTAACTTAGATTTCTGCACTGAGCAAGAGGATTTATGGCCCAAAAGGCCTATTCCAATTCTGTGAGCCTGTGTGAGTTCCGTGAGACTTTCAGCACAGAATATGTTCTGGTGGGATCCTTCAGGTCTCAGGCAACCCGGCCATTTCAGTGTTCTTAGACTGATGCTGACAACGCTTTCTCTCCCTCACAGTTATAAACGCCATCATCGATCCCAGCGGAAACCTAGATATGATCGCCAATAACAAAGCCTCTTCTGCGACCCTCCAATCTGCGGCAGCTAAAGTCAGGACTGCTAATAGCCTTTCGGGGTCCCCGTTGGAGGCGTTGTCCCCCATTAAGAAGAGGAATTACATTCAGAAATCGAACTTTGGCCCTTCTAGTCTGCAGGACGCAAACTTTGTTCCAGATGGGGAGAAATACGTGATCTAATAGAATATTTTCTATCGCTTATCCTCTTGTATGTAACTTAAAACCGTGGCGTTAGTATTTGTGTATGAGTGGTTGTGGATAAGTCTGTATGGAGCAGTTCTTTAAATTGCTGGCCCATTGCACAAAAGAAAAGAAAGTAAGGTACAATCTATGCTGTATGGGGGTGTGTGGCAGGCCTGTGTATATATATATGCCTTTTTAAAAAAGACTAGCACTGTGGAAGAGCAAATATTCAGCATAGAGGCAGATTCTGAATTTTTAATCGAAGGCTACCGATGCGTAATTCCTCCAACGTGCCATAGCAAAACGGGCTTTGCGTGTTCAATTCCGTACCGCCAAAGCTGTACCTGTACGTAGCCTGTTCGTAGCTATCTGTTTAGTTGTATAGAGGCTCTGTTTTGGCAATTTTACTTTTTTGGGGGGAGGGGCAACGGGCAGCCGATGCTGTACATTTAATTTTTGACACAATGGTTTGTACCCGACCACTTTGCTCAGGAAAGGGTGAAGGCTCCCTCCAGTGGAAGGGGATCTTCCTGCAGCGGAAGGTCCGCTTTCGTCAGCAGAAGTCTTCTGTGCCCGGAGGAAGGTGTCAGACTTAAGGGGGGGACGGTAGGATGCAAGCCAGAGGAGGTATTCATTGTTCTGCCAGATTCAACTTGCCTACCTGGTCGGCTGAGTGACGAACATGGAAGGTTTCTTTGGGGAATCCAGGAGCGGTTTCATCCGAGCCCCCTTCAGGAAGGGAGGAAACAAAGATGCCATTAAACTGTTTTAGTTCCATTAATGCACCTTTCACTCTACCACTGGGAATACAGATGATGGAGAGCAGTCAATAATTCCCCTCCATCCCCATGACTGTAATTCACTCAAGAGATTCATGTTGTGTAGATCTAGAGGAGACAATTCAAAGACCAGGTCAAGGTTTTGCATAGCGACATTGCCAAATTTTTACCCTGTCATAGCATCTGCTGTGTTCTCAAAGCTTTATGTGGTCCAGACACGGTTCCCCCCCCCACCTCCCCGTAATCAACAGAACTCCATATTTCTTGCAGACAGTTCTCTAGTTCATGAGTCTGAGGATATTATCGAGGAGGTAAACACCTCCCCCCTGCTGTTTCATGCTTTGAATTTCAGCAACATCCATCAGCAGTGTTCCATACTCTGGCGTTTGTACACACTTTTTGCACGTGTGGGAGTTCATGGAATGCCAGGTACAGCGTCAGCTTCAGGATTTTAAGAACCCTCAGGTGGAGTCCTAATGGAAGAGGGCCGTGGCTCACTGGTGGAGCATTTGCCTTGCACCTAGAAGATCCCAGTTTCCATCTCTAGGTTTTTTCTTTAAAAAAAGATCAGGCAGTAGGCAATACGAAAGACCTCTACCCGAGACCCTGGAGAGAGGCTGCCAATCAGAGAAGACAATATTGATGGTCTCGCAGTGTATAAAGCAGCTTCATGTGTTCCAAGGCGTGCTCTGTAAGCCCTGCCAAACTGATACAAACGGGTCACGCAAGCTGAGAACCCTCTCCTGCTGCCCTGTCTTCTTGGGTGCTACATTCAAAACAAAGAATCTCTCTCTCTCTCTTAGGGTGGCTGTCCCTTTTCTGGTCTTCCAGGGGAGTAGCCAGAAAATCTTGGGTGGTGGGGCATTGGGAAATCGGGGGGGGGGGCAGGGGAGATATATATATCACAGTGGCTTCTGAGATACCTTTACTGTCTAAACTTGAGTCCGAGGATCACGAAAGTTACCCCCAGTGGAATTCCAGCTGTCCCTTTATGTCACTTATGGATGCCAGGGTTACATCTGCCGGCATCGCAGTTGGTACTTTCTTTTAACGGGTTCATCATTTCAGCCTAGTGCGGTTCCCGTTTCGATGTCAGTGAACTTACGTGCTCCAGTGCTTGATCCGTAGTGTTCGCATCAAAATGGAGATGGGGATTGGAGCTGGCAGAGCTCTTATGAGGATCAGGATGCCCAAGCAAAACCGGTGATGGTGTATTTATGCTCATTCCGTTGCTCTCAAAGCTGTAGTTTAAGCCTAATGCCTGTGCCATCTTGCAGCTGTTGACTCCAGATACAGGGGTCCTGTTGGACTTCTAAGAAATAAATGTATTGGGTCACTGGATGTTAAATGCAGTGTTATTAGTATGATTTGTTTTTAAGTTTCAAGTACTGTAAATGTGGGTAATACCAAGGCTGACGTGTATGGTGCTTAAAAACACAGCATTTACGAATGGTTCTCCACTCCTGCTTGCCAAATTCTAGGCAGTTAGTGGGGGTTAAGTAGAGGAGTAAATGGTCCTTTTAAGTGTTCTGAGTGTTTGCTGAGAGGCCACTTGGCCAAGCGAAACCTTTCCTCTTATAAAATTCTCATTTGACTAAGTAGTTCCTGTAAAAAAGAAAAAAAATGTATTTATTGCTGAAGACTGAATTAAATTTAGTTGAGGCGTTTATGCTGTATGTAATAATGTTGCACAAGACGATTTCGCCAAAAATGGAATTGGCTTCATACTGTCATTTTTAACTGGAGATACCAGGGATTTATCCTGGACACTTAATGTCCAGTGATCCCTGATTTCTTGTTTGATGTAAATAGGGGCTATAAAGAGGAGATGGATGTAGCAGGGAACATGCAGGGATTGTGTGCAGAGGGGGGAATAGAGAGTCAGGATGTAGCCAATAGAGCCAGGGGTCCCCAACATCGTCCCCGTGGGGGCCAGATTTTTTTTAAAAAATGTTTCTTTGGCAGCAGCTGCCACCACAGCACAAGAATTTATAGTGTGTCACTGAAGTTAAGCTGTGGCAATCATTTTGTGGCTGGCTCCGCCTTCTTTGGCTACCATTTTGTGGCTGCCATTTTGCTGCTGCTGCGCCCACCATGCCGTGTCAGAATTCCATTTGTGCCGGCCGGCTCAAAAAGGTTAAGGACCCCCGCAATAGAGAAAATGCTAGTCTGTGTTAGATAAACAAACAAACACACAACCTTCACATTAGAAGGTAGAAGTGAAATCGGCCTGGTAAAATTACAAAAGCACGTGGCCATCATGTTTCATCACTGCCTATAGAAAAATCCATGTTGTCCTTTTTGTTTGTTTTTCTTTTAAACGTTTATTTTTCTAGGTACTGGCAGTGTAGAGGCTTAAATAGTATAAATGCTTGCTGCCGAGACACACAGCAGTGGACCCAGAAACTCTGGTTGTTTGTTAGTGACTGATCCAGCTGGGACACCCCCTTACTCAGTTTCCCCTTTTCAGTTCCCTGCAATGACCTCTTGTAAACTTAAACAATGGAAGAAAGTAGCCATGCTGAGAGATGTTATGCAGTGAGCTGTGTTTCACCATAGCTGTGCCACTGATTAAAAACGTGGGCTTAGGAGAAATGGGGTGAATTTACTTTGTCCCATCACCTGTCTCCCATGAACGTGTCTGATCTCCTTTGAAAGCCAGCTAGACTAGCCACCGTCACTATACCCCGTGACCATAAATTCTACTATTACCTTAAAAAGGGGTTTTTTCTGAATCACTCATTCTTAGTTTGCCTCACGGTAATCCTTGACAGTTTGGTGTAGAGGCAGTTTGGTGTAGTGGTTAAGTGCACGGAATCTGGGAGAACCGGGTTTGATTCCCCACTCCTCCACTTGCACCTGGCTGGATGACCTTGGGCAAGTCGTAGTTCTGATAAGAGCTGTCCTTGAAAAAGCAGTTTCTGTCAGAGCTCTCTCAGCCCCACCTACCTCACAGGGTGTCTGTTGTGGGGAGGGGAAGGGAAAGGAGTTTGCATGTTGCTCTCCCCTCTCTTCACCATAACGAAACAGAGACGTAGTGCAACTCAGTATTTATCAGTTTTAAATATCTTTTGAAACGCACTGAAAGAAAAAATTAAACAAGCGTAGAGATGGCTTGTGGTGGAGTGGGACGTTGTTACCTGCCCTGCTTTTCTGGACCTGCTTGTGTGTTGTCTGTGTGTGGGCCAACAGTGTGGTAGAGTGGTTAGAGGAGCAAGCTAGAACCAGGGAGACCCAAGTTCAAATTTACACTCTGCCATGAAGTTTGCTGGGTTCCCCTGGGCCAGTTACAAGACCCTTTTCTGTTAGCGTTTTGCCATGCGTCCGGGCAGAAAGCACCAATTTTGATCCTGTTGATAACACTCATGCGCCATTTTGTCTGAAAGGGCCAGCGTCTGTATTTTCAGCCTCGGCACATGGATAACCAGATCCCTGGGCTCTTGTTTGTGTGTATTGAAGCAGAAAGTATATATGTTGTCCCTTTTGGACAAAAAGGGTGATTGAACATATTGGAAGAACGGCATGTAGCACGTTTCCCCCCCCTTCTTGCTTGAAATCCTTGGAAAAAAGGCTAAGGTTGTGAGAATAAAATGGGGACAGGAAATCTGCATAAGCCGCTCAGAGATGGTCTGTGTATAGCGTTTATACATGTAGGTCCAAACAGCTCAGTTGTTATGCTGTGTAAAATCTGGGAGATTCTGCCCTAAGCATGAAGAAAAGGTGGTTTTTATACCCCACTTTTTTCTGCCCTAAGGGATCTCAAAGCAGCTTACAAACTCTCCTTTCCTTTCCCCACAATAAGCACCTTGTGAGGAAAGTGGGGTTGAAAGAGTTCTGAGATAACTGTGACTAGCCCAAGGTCACCCAGTGGGCTTCATGTGGAGGAGGAGTGGGGAATTAAATCCCATTCTCCAAATTAGAGTCCACCGCTCTTAACCACTACACCATGCATCACGCATGTGATCTTTTGCCTACATAGACTGTGTACAAACGCCGCATCCACACATGGGATGGGAGACGGGATAGGCACACTTGTGTGACCCCACTAGCCTAGGTCTCCTCCAAGGGAGGCCTGTATATCTAACGTTACAGCTTGGTCTACCTTCTGTCAGATGTAACTAAGCCAAAGAGGAAACTCGCTCCCTCATCTTTGGGTCCTTCTTGTTGAGTTCCAGTTTTTATACTGCAGATAGCTTGTTAAACATTCATCTTGATATTCTGGAATATCCAGATACCATCTATATCAGTGGATTGAGTTTCTGGTTGAGTGTTTTGGGGTTCCTTGACAGGCTCATCGCTTTTTGTTTTACCTGTGTGTATAACTGCACGTGTTGCTTCTATTTCAATTTTTCAAAATATATACTCATATGTTTCGGAGGGATTGAAGGCCCATATCTCATGGAAGTTCAGTGACAAATAAGGTATCTGATTGCCTCAGGATTCTTTATTTTTTTTAAAGAACAGCTCCTTGGTTCTAAAAGCTTGAAAAAAAAGCCCCACACAGAATCTTTTAGGTTTCATTTAGGTTACATTCTAGTTCCATTACGAAAGAATGAATGTAAATTCTCAGTTGCCTATTCTGATAACGTGGCGTTCTGATGCCCTTGGTGACAATATAATCCAATGAGGTGGCCCATTCACAAATCATTTTTCCTCAGGTCACGCAGTGTCCATGACTGGATTCGCTTCAAACTGAGTGAGAAACCTTCAGGTTCTTCAGGACATATTCTGGAGGCACATTCAAAAGACCGGCAACTGAGTTAATCCACTGGAAGAAACATCTGTTGATTTTCAGCCTGAGGAAAAACGGTTGTGTGAATAAGTTCTGAGGGACATTTCATACATTATGTGTCAGCAAAACCCTGGTTTACCACAGTGTGCACTAAAACAGGCACCTGTAACCAACCATGACGAGTTTCTTTCCGTTGTACATACATTCATTACATCCACCCTTTTCAGTTTTTATACATATATGTAAAATAACTCTGATAGTAACCCTATGCACACCAATTTAGGAGTAAGTGCTACTGAAGCAGGTGGGATTTACTTCTGAGTAAACATTGATAGACTAGGGCTGTTAAGGATACACCTAAACACTGTATTGTTTGAAATGGCCCCAACTCCTCTTGAAATCGAAACAAACCTTTACTCTGAATGTTTACAGGATTTTTTTTTAAAGCTATTGTAAAAGTGCAGCATTCTACTGATTTTTTCCTGCATTTTAGTAAATTGATGGTAGGGTATTTTTTTAAAAGAAGTCTAGCAAATGCTGCTAGAGTTAGACTTTGCAGCTGTAAAAACGACATTATCTACCTGTTCACTTTCTGCCGTGCTCTTTGCTGAACTGTGCCTAACTATCTGCTGTTGTTTATGCTGCTGAAACCATTTTCTGCTCTTCGGAAACATTCATCACGGAAATCGACCATTCCATCTGCATGCAGCACAAAACGCAAAGCTGAGCTGTATGAGAGTATAACTGAAATTCAACTTTGTATAATCCAAAACTTGTTTCAATGGCTCGTCTGGTTTCTTCCTCTTTTCATTTCCACATCTTTTTTTTTTTAAGTGTATAATTTTAAGGTTCCTCTTTCTCCCCACCCAAACATAGACAGCTGGGTTTTATTTTATTCCCCCCCCCCTTCTCATCTTTGGGAACTTTTTTTTAAATGATAATTTATTTGGTTTATAGGCAATTATCTGTATATTTTTGTTCCAAAGTGATGTTGTGGATGTCTTTAAAAACAAAACAAAATAAATGGTTATTTTATATAATTTTATCATAAATTTGCTATAATAAATCATTCCTTTTTTCCCATGTGACA